AAAAAAAAAAAAACGATGAAAACGAGGCGTGAATTTGTATCAAGTGTTTAGAGTCTTTAATCGTAAATTAACAGAGCAGTTCGATCTATTTGTCTATTAACCATATAAAAGTGACTGATAGTGAAAAAAGAGAACAATCAAGGTCGCCATCCACGTAAGAGAGAGAAAAAAAAAAATTTACCGAGTGCGCCCGTGTTTATCAAGCTTTCGTCCGCTCCGCTCGCAAATTTCCGTCTTCTTTGCGCGATGGAAAAAAAAAAAAGAAAAATAAGGGACGATTAATAAAAAAAATTTCTTCCACTTCACGCGAAGAATACGCAATGTCAACTCTGTACTCCGTGGGTCGGATTTTTTCGTTGTGTCCGTTGACAACGCGCTTAATAATACACTGCGACATTACAATCGCGTACGAGTAAATGAAAAAATTGAACGAAAAAAGTCCCCCAGTCACGCTTGTGCTATTTACGCGCGTAAACTACCTTAGGTAAATATTTTTCAGCTGTGTTAACCGGTAACGCCCTTGAATAGCGATAATGCAAAAACCATAGCTCTTAGATCGTAATTAAAAGACACTCAATCTCGCAAACGCGATAATAATTAATATTAACGTTGTTAGGGCGTATTTCGAGTATATATATACCGCTAGAAATAGGTTATTCCAGAGTACTGTAGTTGCATGTCGATGTATTTTAAGGAAATGGCATAAAAAAATTATTGCCATAGGCAATTGTTATCCAAGACCTAGAATATTAGTCTTCGGCTTGTAATTTGTTTCTTCCGATAGGGCGAGTTATTCCAACGCAGAGTTCCAAAAGTATGATTAACACTAACACTTGCACCCTGCAAAAAATACCCTAGCACACACGCACACACACACACCCACACATATTTATGTCATGTATCGTAATACGATATAATGGAAGGATAAATTAGTCAAGAAAAAAAGGAATAGATGTACTCGCAACCGTATAGACTCTTATCTTTCCTCTGTAGCCACCACAATACTTATCTAATAAATCAAAAGAAAGAAAAACGAAAAAAAAAACATGTATCCCAGTACGTGAATATGAACAAATACTAGCAAGCTAATCATTCGTAAACTTAGTTAATAAAAAAAGTTTTAAAAAATTTTTTTTAAATAAATAAAAAAAATAAAAAACAAGTAACGAGTAAGCGAAAAAAAAGAAAACAAAACATAAAATGCCATTCCTCCCATGCCTCTTTCTGTCTGCGCGGTCCTCTCTCGCTTTCTGTGTGTGAGCTTTTGTCGCGCGCGCTTCTCTCCTCCGCACACAAGCGCTCCCGGTACAATATAAAGTACACAGGCTCTCCTCGCACTCGCCCGCGCGCTTCTGGGCTCTGGCATGTTACACCCCCTCCCCCCAACCCCTTCCACGGTATTATTCTTCAATCGAGAAAATATACGTAATTCAACCGGATAGTGGCTCAACTCCGTCGAAATTTGTGTGCGCGTTTCCCCGCTTATCGCGCAATTATACGACACTTTTCAGCGTAACTCCTTTATTTTTCTCTCCCTGAATTGTACTCTTCCGTCCGCCAATCTGAAACTTTTGCAGAAAAGGTAGCTCTTCCTCTGCTATTCTTTTTACATTTTTTTCTACCCTGCAAGTTTGTATTTCCGAAATTTCTGTCTACATTTTTGCAGTGCTACAAATCTTGCTACTTTCGCGAAGTTTCTGCTTTTTTTTCAATGCGTATACGAAATCTTGGATCCATCCTCCCCTTGACTGCAAGTTCTTAAATTGAAAGAAATAAAGTTCAAGATCGTTAAATGATGTACGCTGGAAATCGATAAAACGAAGGGAGTCTCTATCGGAAATTTAAAATTAAGTAAAGAAAAAAAAGTAAAACTAAATCATAAAAGTTACACTTAGGAATACTTACGCATTAAGAGTACGGTATGGTGAACGAAAGAAACAAGCGAAGAGATAGTTCGACACTTTACGTAAGCACTTAACTAATCTTGTGTCGGCCTATACCTGATCACGGCGCTGTACTTCGTACGCGTGCAGAGTTTCGCGGGGGAAAAAAATGTAAAACGAAATCTTAATGATAACTACGATGATAAAAGAGTAGGAGGTCAGCGAGACTCCACCGAATAGGCGCCTGATGGCTTGGCCGGCAGTGATGTAACTATTAACACGTATAACCCCTTACGTTATATTTTTCCGGTGCGTGGTTGTCGCGCTCGGCCTCGAATCATATTTTTCCAAAATCCACACAAAACGTGACTAACTATTGAAAACTAAAAATCATCGATTTTACAATGTTGTAAGAATTTTTTTTTTTTTATACTTTACCGAAAAGACTGACTTTAACACAGTCACGAGCCTTTAACCCTCGTATGGTTCGATCGGAATTTTATCGCTAAATGTGTGTATGTGAGTGGATAATTTATTTATTTATTTTTTTTAATATATAGTCTAAATCATTTTTTATAATTCATACATTAATTTTGTACTGTTGGTATTGCATTAAAATGCCTAATAAACTCGATGGAAAAACATGTTTTTTATAAAAATATTGGACGACGAGTATGTGTCTGAAGTTCTATACTAACGAGGCCTTAAGTCTGTTATTGCAAAGAAGAAGAACAATGTGCAATGTTACATTTGTGCATTATTATGCGTATGTATTATTCATATTTAAAGTAAGAAAAAAAAAACTTAACAAACGAGATGGAACAGAAAAAAAATGATTCGAAACCGAGCCGTCATCGTTACGGATAATCACCGGCAGTTTGTGATATATTTAGTGAAAACAGATAAGAAAAAGAATGATTGTTGTTCAAATTAAAGTGAGAGAAGCGCCTAGTGGTTTTTAATCCGAAAAAACAAAGTTTATGTTCACACAATGGTGTGGGTAATGACGGATAGTGTGTGAGCCCATCGAAGGCGGACATTTAATTTTGAATCACGAAAACAATTGTGCCGATAATTTGCAATAAAAGGAAGCAAAAAAAAAAAAAAAACGAAAATAAACTGTCCGGCTGCGATGCGATTTCGAGTGAAAATAGGAAATTGGGTGAAATGTTGATGATTGAAAAGCTGCAGTGCGTGCAAGAAAAAAAAATTACGAGAGTTAGGGAGTTAAAAGAGTGTCTGCGTGAGGTGTGCGAGAGAGAACAAAATAATAAAAGAAAATAAGGAGTATTTGATAAATGAAAATAAAATAAATTTAAAAAAATTTTTTTCCCATCACTCGAGCTGGTAAGCATATTTTACCTGAGTTGATTCAATTTCTTTCTGCGCATAAGTCGAATGAAGCCCAGCGTGTGTGTTATGCGGGAGTTGGGAATTTGCACGGCAATAGCGAGGTCCGAAAGGGGATAGAGGCTTAAAGACACCACCACGTCAAAATGTTAGATAAACGTTCACAGAGATTTATCATTATTATTATTATTATTATTAATTTTTTTTTTTTTTCTATCTTCTGATATAATAATACTCTCTTTCTCTGTCTGCATCCTCTTTGTTATCGTTGACAAATTTAAGGTACTTTTGCGCGGATGAAAACTTCATAACGCGCGATTTGAGGTGCACACAAGAAAATATTTTCGCTTTGATGTCGAGCGCAATTTGGAGCCCGACTACGTTTTTACGAGCTGAAATCAAAATACACGCGGCTTCGCCCACTCAAGTACAGCGTTTCAACGCGCCCTCAACTTTTCGTCACATCCCGACACGACACCGACACATGTATACACGCGAAAAATAGCTTTCGTGTCACGTCGTTAGTTCCGTCATCTGGTAAGACATTATATATCATACGCGCGTGTTTCTAAATTCAAATCATCGATTTACACGTTGAATTCAAGTCAGAAACTGTTAAAAAATTACATACTTAACGTCAAAGAAGATGCAGATGATCTTACGACCGAAAGAAAGAAAGAAAGAAAAAAAAGCCATATCGTGACGGTATAATAAACTGGGTAGTAAATTACTTCTTCTCGGTGGCCTTCTTTTCTATGTACTCCTGGACTCTCTTTATCGTATCCTCGTCTGGGGTTTTTTGCACTGCGAAATCACACAAAATAAAAATTAGATCACTTAGCTCCTCTCGTTGGCCTTTTCTCTGTATGATGTACATGTATATTTGTTGTAATGTTCCCCCCGAAATGTATGTTTTTTCGTCCTCGTACACATTCGCGATACATGGAATCACAGTTATTCACGAGGTACAGGTCAACAGTTGGAAACAAAATAAAAAAAAAAAAAACCATAGGTAACACGTACCGGTGACAATAAGGTGGGGCATATGCATACGTACCGCCGTCCTCGTCGCCAACGAGCTGCGCCTCGACGGCCTCTTTATCGACGCTCTGCTCCTCCTCGGCCTTGAGCTTCTTCTCCTTCTTTTTCTTCTTCTCGGGCTTGGCCTCGACTTCCGGCTCGATCAGCTGCTGGACCTCCTGCTCCACCGCGACCTCCTCTTTCGGCTCCTCCGCGACTGGAGCGAGCGGTTCCTCGACGGGTGCGGCCGGTTCTTCGGCGATTTCTTCGTACGAACGCGAGGACGTATGTACACACGCAGGGAAAGGTGAGGGAGGAAAAAAAAAACAGCTCAAGGTGAACATGCTACTACTGCTACCGAGGAGAGTGGACCGTGGTGGTCTTTTTGGAGGAAGGAAATGGTGTTTTTCTTTTTTTTTTTTTTCTTTTCAAAAAGGGGTTTGGTTCTGCGTCGGAATATGCTTACCTTCTTCGTGGACGATCTCGTCGGCCCAGGTGATCGTGGTTGTGGCTCCAACTAAAATTTACAGAGACAGGGGGATAGTTGATGGCTCACCAGGGACAAACGACACTTTTTGCATTGTTAGAAACGTTTAGTTGACGAATTTTAATTTATTTTCTTTTTTTCATTTTCCCCTCTCTCTGATTAATGTATGTTTTTTTTTTTTTTTTTTTTTTTTTTTTTTTTTTTTTTTTTTTTTTTTTTTTT